TAGAAATTAAAATGGTTATATAAAAAAGATTAATATTACTACTAGTATTAGTAGCAGTATCTTTCATTGTCTCTTTCTCTCTATATATATTTTAAATGTAAAATAAAATGTAACCAATTCTAATTCTAATTCTATATATAAATATAATATAAAATTTCGAAAAATAATTGATATGGTGTCTTAGAAATAATATATATATATAAATATTAAATATATAATTAGGGAATTTTTTTTTTAGGACGTGAAAGAGAAAAGGGAAAGAAAGGAGAAGAAGGCTATGAAGAAAAAAAGGAGAAGAAAAAATTCCCGGGGAGAAAGGAAGGGAAAAAAAAAAGAATGTGAACCACAAAGTTTTTTTTTTTTTTGATATGAAGAGGGACAAGAACAAACTCGAGACAGTACAGTCCGACGATGCACAACAACATATTAAAAATTTTAAATCGGTGCGACGTTATTTACCTTTTTTGTCTATTAAAAATAATTTAATTATATATTATATTAAATAAAATATTATATTAAACTAAATATATATATATATATTAATATACAATAGTTATAATTTAAAGTTATAAAAGATAAGGTGTGCCTGGGTACAAACACAAAAATTATGTTATATAATCATTCAAAATTTTCATTTTTTTCTGAAAATTCATTTTGAATTTGCATTGGTGTTGGCTGTTGCTGCTGTTGCTGCTGCTTTACTTCTTCGCATTCAACAAATTCATTTGATTTATTAACAACGTCATCCCAAAATTTTTGCAATACCTCTTTATCATTACAGAAATTTTGGAATTCTCTCAGTAAAGTATCAGGATTGGGTGCAATATTTGTCGAATTCGTATTTTTATTGATGGCAGTTGTTGAATGAGTTGTGAATAATCGATTATTTACCCATAGATATCCTTCACCAGGGTCACAAATTTGTATAAATGCCACTCCACTTTTATGAATAAACTGCGAGTATTTATAAGGAGTTTTATGATACGAATAAATTATCTCAATCTCATCACTAAATCTCGAGTCAGCCTCCACATCCAATATGAACTTAAAATGTTTTATTAATTTTGTTTCAAAATACAAATAAGGATTGATGGTTGGGTGTAGTTGTTTGCCAATTGATTCAAGTTTTGGTGGCTGTACTGACAATTTT